TGTGTGTGTGTGTGTGTGTGTGTGTGTGTGTGTGTGTGTGTGTGTGTGTGTGTGGTGTGGGTGTGTGTGTGTGTGTGTGTGTGTGTGTGTGTGTGTGTGTCACCTGAGTGGAGGAGGGAGAGCAACAGAAGCAGGCTGATTGAGTCTCCCACTGTTTGCTCGGACCTTTGGTCCTGCTCTCATCGAGACATAAAACTCTGTGTTGGACCTGAACATTGAAGAAACAGAAAGAATTCAAATAAATAAAAGTCATTTCACTGACGTCACTGGAGGTCGCCTGCACCATGCTCCTGTAAATAAGGCCATGAATCAGCTTGGAGGACCGGCTGCACATGCAGAGCATCACACCTAAATAATAAAATAGGGATATATAATAAGGATCAATAAAGGTTTATCTTATCTCCTCTCCTCTTCTATCTCATCTCATCTAAAATCAAAATGTCTTATTTCAGGTGTTAACGTTGACTGGCAACTTTAAATAACGTCAGAACAGACGCATAAATAGAAGCAGTAACTTCACCTGAGTAAAGAACAAGCTTACGCGAGTTATACTGAGTTAAAATGTGACGCACTAAAGCCTCTCCTCATAAACACTGTTTACTGAAAATGCACTTGTACCCAAAAAACGTCAATGATGTGATTATTGAACGATGAATTTCACTCTCATACCCTAAAGTGACGGAGGCGTTGTAATTACTGGGGACGGTTTTCTGCCACTGGCGGACGCACCAGCCCGGGGAGGGCAGGGAGCCTTGGAAAGGTAAGGAGGTGGGGTGGAGCAGACAGTCCTCCCCTGCAGCACACAGTCCAGACAGAGCCGGGCAGGGGCTGGGGGCGATGGCACTGAAATGAGCCCGCACCTGCAAGAAGGCAAGACACACAGCCACAAACTCTGCTCGATTTATGACTCAGCTGACGGTCAACAAACCTGCGGGCCGAGCTCGGCCCGTCATCACTCATCAATAAACCACACACATCTGCAGGAAGAGTTTCTGACAAACCAAAACTAATGCATTAATGTTCAGGCATTTGTGGCAGCACGAAACGTGATTAATTCATCAGATAAATGAAGATGAATCATTCATCTAAACTGCCATCTGTTAAAAAAGTAGGATTAAATCATGGACTGATGTCGGCACTTGTAATTAAGGACTTTATGTTTCGTACATGTAGTTCACAGGGATATTAATGGATTCAATGTGACAATTAAATAATGAATTCATAGAACTAATAGATTACAATAAATTTAACTTCATTATAAAATGAATTGTGCTCAGTTTATTTTTCTAAATTACTTTTTCACCCTCCTAATTTACACTTAAACTGAGAGATACTGTAAGTGGTTTTAGGATATACGTTGTTTAACAAGTGGCTGCTGTCTAGAACGTAAGAAAAATGAAGGAATTATTGAAAAAAATGATGTAAAATTAATATTTTCTTCCTGCATTAATGAATCCCTGAAGACCTTAAGTAAAGTAATAAGGTTTTTCTAAGGAATTAAAGTTTGTAGAGAAATACAAAGCTGTGAAGTTCCTAAAAACAAAACGCTGAAATAATCACTTGCAGTTCACCGACACTTTCCAACTGTGGAAAAGGTTCATATTACTTTACTGCTTCACCTCAGATGCCACAAACAGCCTCAATAAACAACCGAAACTCAGTCAGTTTTGGACATGAAGGCACCGTGACAAAGAGACGCTGCCCACCGTTTTCCCTCCGTCTACGTCCAGGGGCACCACATGGACCGTCAGCCCCAGAGAGGAGGCCTCGCAGGCGGGGCCCAACAGGAGCAGAGTCAGCCCCTGCACCAGGATGCTCAGCGTGAATCTGTGCGGCATCTCAGCTCCTCAGTCACACAGGAAGTCTGAACCTTCAGGAAATACAAAGATGAAAAGGAGAAGCAGTCGGGGCCCGTTACAGGAAGTTAAACTGACATAAACTGAGCATCAACGAGCAGATGTCGGCGTTGTGTCATGACCTTTAAAACCTACCCAGCATAACGAGTGTTGATGAGCGTTGACACTTTCTGAAGTGTTTGACGTCGGTGAGGTGGGGGTGGGGTGGGGGTGAGGTCGGGGTGGGGGGTGCTGCTGCGGTGTGATGGATGCTATGGAATCTTGAAAAGCAAATGTGAGAGAGAGAATTAAGAGGCGATGACTGGTGTGACGGTCGTCGCTGACATGAAGCAGCACCTCTGCAACACATGGAGCGGTACATATGTGATATTAAAGGTGTGTGAGAATGACTTCACATCGAGGTTTAAAAACAGTTATTCCAACATGATATCCACCACCGGAGCCTGACGCCCGACACAGCCTCTGTTCAAACATTCACACCATATCCAGAGGAATATTCAGATTTCATATAAAAGTACACGCTGATGGAGGAGAGGTATGTGGTCGGCATGACCGCATGAACTCACAGGAGCCGTCACATATTTGTAATCCTACAGAGCATGTCATGTAATATCTCATTGTATGATTATTGTTATTGAGCAAGTGATTAAACAGAAATGGAACAAATAAACTTTAAGATCAGCAGAAGATTTCTCTGTAACTGTTATTTATCCACTTTTAGAACAAAAACATTTTCACAGTTTACTGTAAATGTGAACGGAAGATTAAACTGTTTTTCTGTGTGCTTCATTGATGGACCACGGCAGGACGTCCCAAACACAAACTCAAAGGGAGATAAACAGTGGACAGATCAGTCGGGGACATTGATGATTGGACTATAACATGACTTCTGTGTCAGCCTGAACGACCATGATGATTAACATCGTATCTAATGATCACTGTTATTATTCTTTATTTCTTGTTGAAGCAGGAAGTAACTCAACAAATGATTAAACCCCATACAGAAAAGTAATATATGACACCTATATGTGTCACCTATAAGGGGATATATTATTATCACATACATACATCCTCTGGATACATGAAGGAATAACATGTTGTGACCATATATGTTAATGATATATATTTAATTTATATAAGTAAGTTTATTTAAAGAACGTACACATAAAAATACTATGTTTATTTTAAACATGTGATTCTGGGAAAGTGGTCTCAGTCTCTTGGATTCTACTGTATATACATGAACATATATTGATTTTATATATACATATATATATAAACATATTTGTATGGGCTGAACATACATGTCAATATATGAAATTGTTCCATTTTTTCTAATAGGTTTAATATATACACTAAACAGACATAATTAGTGTTAATGAATGAGTGTGGTGTCATGTCTAACACTCAGAGGGAGATTGCTTCAGCGGTGTCTCAGTTATGAAAAAGATTCTTGGTTTTCATCTTTCTTTCTTTTTCAAATTCAGTTTTCTGGTGTTTCATCACAAACATTATTCGTCACTTTAACGAGCAGAAACACAGATCTCTGTGGCAGCTGATCGCTCACATCCTCCATCTGTGAATCCTCTCTCTTTTGGACGGATTGTTGAGTGTCTGCTTTTCAGTCAGTGGATGCCAGTTCTGCTCTTTGAGTAACTGACAGAAACTGCACTCTACACTTTGTTTGTCCTTCTGGAAGCCGGACGCAGTTTTCTGATTCAAGACGAAGGTTTAATTCAAGCAGCCATTAGAACTTTTTCATATTTTGGATCAATCATCAGGAGCCACGCTTTTTATATTCACGCCTTACTAATTAATTTGCTTTTATATCGTCTCTTGCTATTATTGCACAGATATCATCATCCTCTATCTTGTTTCCTTTTGTTTTCTCAATCAATGGCATCATAATCCGTTTCCAGCAAAGATTAATTAAAACATCTGTTTAATTTCAATGAGAATATGCAGGAAAAATAATTACAATCTAATTCAAGGGCAAAAATAAAGAATCCATCTTCCACTTCTAGAAAAATAAGCCCAGTACAAATACTGTATTGGAGTATTGACGTCTGTATTGTTGGTCTGTGTTGACATGAGATAAGGCTGGTGTTGTGTAATAAGATGTGGGGTCTGTATTTGTAGAACAATTAGAGGTTTTATTACACTTCAACTTAAAAGTGATTTTAATTGATTCTGACACACGAGGCAGCGTAAATAAAATAATCCAGTGCTTGAAGAAGAACCGGATCCAACAGTTTTGTTGTTGTTTGTTGAACAGCCAAAGTCTTTTACTTGCGTTTTCAGAAAACAGGTTCAAAACTGGAACTGACACATTTCAGGAGCACGGCCGAGTGTCACGCATACCAGGCTCTCAACAAAACATTTCAGAATAAAAGCTCATTATTCCCCGCTCACAAGACACTGCTCTAAAGCTGTAACACCTGCAACTATTTTAATATTTCATTTCTTTATCTTTTGCTGTGAACAAGTGTCACGTTTCTTAGTCAAAAAAAGAAAATCCTCTTCGCTTGTTCCATGAAGGTTTGTTGCAGAAGCATTTCTGTATAAAACCACTAATATGTGCTTAAAATCCAACATCTGTTTCTCAGTTATAATCATTATTATGTAAAACCTTTGTTTTGTGTTTGCTTCCTCAAACCTCCCATTGCTGGAATAAACAAGGAAATCAAAACACGTCTAAAACAGAGAAGATGAATCCATTACCTGCCACCGAAGCTTCAAAGTCCGACCCAATGTTGATGTCTGGTCCTGCATCAAACATGAACTGGAGCTTTGAGTCGGTGTGTTCCTCCTGTATAGATCTGAGGGATGAAGGTGGAGTTCACTTAAATTCGGGCAGAGGAAGAATGGAGCTGAACCGGCTCGACCGCACGCTGTAAAAAGAGGCACGACAATAGGTGCTTGTCAGCAGGAGGGCTTTGTGCAACCGACAGGAATAACTGTAGTTTACCTCAACCCCGGCGCCGCCATCTAAAATGCCTCGCATGGCCTCAGGGTCGCCGCAGTGACGCAACTCAAGTTAAAAATCATCCGAACACAACTGTGAAGGCTGAGACGTTTATTTATTGAAAGAACAAAATGGAATATTCTGAGGAATGATGTTACAGTCGTCTGTAGAAAACCTGTGGTCCCTTCCTGCAGAAAAGAGCTGGTGCTCCTTCCCAGCAGTCACATGATCACTACTCAAAGAGACTGAGCCAAGTCTCGTTAAGACATTTCTTCTGCTTCGTGTTTATTTTGCTCCTTTCTGATCAAGCTCCTAGTAAATATTAGACTATTTTACACCAACATTAGCATTAAATCACCATTTATGTTTGGTCAGAAAACAAACAGAGTCAGTGCCAGCCCAGGAGAGGAAAGGTGTCTGTTCAAGAGGTCCCTGGAGTTTGGTCAGACGAGGAGAGGGAAGGCATCCTGGTGCTTTGGACCTTCTATCAGGTAGTCGGGGGGGACAAAGAAGGCAGCTCCTAACTCTGTACTTCCTGTCATCAGGGCTGGAGACGCCAAAGCCGTCCCATTACTGGCCGTTTTTCACGTTGAGGATTTTCTCCTGTGATTAAAAAACAAAAAGCCAAAGAGTCAGCTCACAGAGTCTGGCAAGCGCCACGAATAAATGAAAACATCTCTGTCCTGGCTGCAGTGCGTCATTAGCACGAGTGCACACACACACACACACACACACACACACACACACACACTTCTACATTTGCCAAAAACAGGAAGCGGCGTCTCACTTTGATCATGGTCTCCAGCTTGATGGCGTCAGCGGCGAACTTGCGGATGCCGTCAGACAGTTTCTCCACGGCCATGCGGTCCTCGTTGTGCTGCCAGCGGAAAGCCTTCTCATCCAGGTGGATCTTCTCCAGATCACAGGCCTTGGCTGCAAAAAACAAAACCATCAAGGTGGATGTGGAAACACATGCAAGGCTCCCATTTTTAAATTTATTTATTTTCACTCAAAAAAAGAAGAAGAAAAAAAAGGCAGATTGCTTTGAATGCATTTCCACAAATATTTCATTTTGTTCCCATGTATCCAAAGTTGTGTTCTCTGCTCTACAGAAACTTTGAGAAGTAAAGAGTCAAAAAAGTTCTGATTATGTGGAATTAACAAAAATTGAACAGATTTTCACCTTTAAATTAGAAACGAATCAGTTAATTTTACAGATTGTTTTGAAAGGAACTGTAGTGTCAAAGGAAGGAGGGGGCTGTTTGACGGAAATATTCAGAAGAAAGTCAACACTTCATCTGATATTGGCTTTTCTTCCGCAGGTTACACAGTGACTATAAAATCACTACCTGGCACAACCCCGTCTCAAATAACCCGGACTTTCACTCCGACACGCAGCTGACGACGCGTCACCTCTGCCAAGTCTCTGTGCCCTTTAATATTTCATAATAATGAGAAGCATCTGGGCCCTTGAGAACAACCTGCCACTCATCGTTTGACGGGAGAATTAAGTCCGCTGATTCATTCATTTGCATCAACTCCAGCTTCACAACAGTTTCCTCATTTAATAAACATTTATATGTGTTTATAATGATCCAGCTCGGCGCCAGAACCTTCAGTCTGACTGCAGTGATCCAGGGTTTAGTAACGTCTTCCCTTCTCTTGTGTCTTGTCGACTGAATGTCAACACACACACACAGTCAGTCAAAATGAAGCCGGTAAAGCCGTTCAATAAAAGCAGTGTTTTGTGCAGGAAGGCTTGGAGCCACAGAGCGGTACCTTTCTCCACAGTGAGCATCTGTGTGACGGTGCTGTGGTCCTCGCTGAGCTCTGCCAGCAGCCCAGGGGAGATGGTGAGCAGGTCGCAGCCCGTCAGAGCCTTCACCTGCCCCGTGTTCCTGAAGGAGGCGCCCATCACCACCGTGCTGTAGCCATACTTCTTGTAGTAGTTGAAGATCTTGGTCACACTCAGGACACCTTGGGATGGAGAGGAGGGGAAATTAAAGGGTTAGAGTGAGTGTGTGTGTGTGTGTGTGTGTGTGTGTGTGTGTGTGTGTGTGTGTGTGTGTGTGTCAGCACTGGTTTATTGTACAGTTTGTTACATGTGAGGCAGGTGTTTCTATTTAGTTGTGTTGATGGGTTTTTATGTTTAAAGTCACTGTGTATTCTCTCATGTGTAAGTGAGTTTGCTAGTAATGAAATGTGATCTATAAGGACGCCCGGATTGATCGGTGGATGTGAATTAACGCTTCTAGTCACAGATCACCTTGAAACCTGGTGGCGATATGACCAAATATATATCACAGTTTAGTATCGAATCCTACACAGATCAGAGTTTGTTGCTCCTAAACACTCATTTATTTTGAACCAATAATGTGATTCTATCTGGGATCAACACGGTGAAGTATCTAAGGTTGTGTGGCTCATGTAAGTCTCTGCACTACACGTCAGCAGCGGCAGGTTTCATCACCTGGATCTTCGTGTGGCTCGTAGCTTTTGCGGTCTGTGTTCTCCTTGTACCAGTCGAAGATGCGTCCCACGAAAGGTGAGATCAGCGTCACCTGTGCTTCTGCGCAGGCCACAGCCTGAGCGAAGGAGAACAGCAGGGTCATGTTGCAGTGCACGCCGTGCTTCTCCTCAAGGTCCCTGCACAAAAAATAAATAATATTCAAACACATCACAATCAGTAATATGTCCATATGTGAACATGCGTTTTCCCCTCTGACATTTCAAGCAGAACCTCCCACTGCGTCAACCTCAGTCTTTTTAACTGAGACAAAGTTCAGTCTTACTTTGCACTGCTTTAATATGTGCTACAGTGATCCAGGTATCTGAACCAAAACTCAGGTATTACCATGGTAACAGTCCAAAACCTACAGATAGCCAGTTTATAATGATGGAAAACAGAAAAGCAGCAAATTCTCACGAGAGAAAAAAAAAACATTTAGCAATTTTTATTTAATCATCAACTTAAATGAATAATTTACATGATTTTGCAGGTTGAGTTTCTGTCAATCACCTAATCAATTGTTTTACCTAAAGAATGGATCTGATTTTAAATTGTCCTAGCAGGTGTCTCGTGCACAGTCACATACACACTCTGTATCCTGTTTGTGTGGCGACACCCTTCATCACATATTAAAGACACAATCTGACCACATCTGGTCAATATCTACACTCAGACATGATGTAGAACAGTCCAACAGTGTTACCGATGGTGACTCTGCACTTTGACCCCAAGTTGCTGCTTTAATTACATCATCTTCATTAGCTGTGGTTCATTAACTTTCACCTCCACTGTTAAAGAAACCCTGTTGTATTCACCCACAGTCAAGATCATAACTGCTTCACATATCTGAGCGTTGAAACCCATCAACATCATAAAAAGCGACACAGACGTAAAACAATTCACTCACTTGCCGGCCTGAATCCCCTCCCACGTTGACGACAGCTTGATGAGCACGCGCTCCTTGCTGATGCCCGCCTCTTCGTACAGAGCGATGAGCCTGAGGGCCTTGGCAACCATTTCATCTTTATCGAAAGATAATCTGTCAGGAGAAACAGCAGTCATCATACAACAGCTCAAATTTGGCATCCACACTCAATTACTTCATTTTCTTTCAGCCAATTTGCGATGATTTATCGGGGGCGCCTGTGGCCGAGCAGGTAGAGCGGGTTTATTAATCACAGGAGCGGCTTGATCCCCAGATACTCCTGTCTACATGTCCTGCAGCAACACACTGAACTCCAATTGCTCCTGATAATTAAACCAGCTTCTTCCACGGCAACTTTATCTGGGTGTGTGGATAGATGTAGGAGAGGCAAACTGAAGTCCCGTGTTACTGCTGAATGATTGCAGTCTTTACTCTTATATTATAGAAGAAGACATTAAAAGCAAAGTGTAATAAAGATTTCCACATCAGAGCGGTGACATAACCAGCTGTCCGGCTACTTTTACGAGTCCTGCCTCATCAGTATAATTATTATTATTTTGAAAAGGTAAACATAGTAAAGATGCTTCCTGTCATAATCAGCACCTTGTGACAGGTTGTTAGCACCCACCTGGCGTCCACCTCGGTGGAGACTCTGCCTGGGACCAGCTTGAGAATCTCCAGCCCGAACGTCACAAACAGTTTGTCCATGGTGTTGGCGACCTGCTCCTCTTCAGTGCTGCACACAGAAGGAAACATGAAGCCGGTGATCAACGTCTCACTTACACTGGACCAAGAGGAATTTCATCGAAAGACATTGGACATTGTGTATTATTCTAGAGCGGCACAATTAATCAAAATATAATCAAAATCACAATATGGCCAAGTGTGATATCAAAACCACACGAGCTGTAATTTCAGTTTTGATAAAACGACGGTAACAAACAAAAATCACTCCATCACTTTTATATTTTCTTCAGTAAAATTTAATCTTGTATATCTTTAAAAGCTGCAACATTCAACTTCTGCACATTCAAATTGCTGTAATTTTGTGGGATCGTCAGGCTGAAGCTGTGCGACAGCTCTGGCACTCGACCAGTGAGGTGCAAAGACACCAACACCAAATTAAATTATGTATGGAAACCATCTCTCAACACTGTAAATGCAGTTTTTAGTGTTTAAGCCGCCTCCACCACATGAATCTGAGAATCACACTCATTAAAATGCATCACAAACTTCAGGTTTAAGCAGAAAAGCCGAACATTACATTTCCCAGCCTGCATCAAATTAAGGAACTTTGTCAACACATTGCACAGAGGAATCGCTCACTGTGCAACATCTGCAAAACCACATGAAATGTTCCCCTTCCTTAAGCAAATGACACGCACTTCAGTGCTGTTTATATTCGGGTTTAGTGTAATCCAACAGGTACACATCTCAAGAGCCTCTTACCCGCCTTTGGCGATGCCGTATTTAATGGCCTGATCCAACAGGTGCTGGTAGGCCGGCATCTTGGCAGCAGCCAGGATAAGAGACGGGTTAGTGGTGGCATCTTGAGGCTTGTACTCGTCAATGGCTGCAGGACAGGAAGACACAGAGACATGTCACATACACATACCTAAGTATAAGTATATAAACATCTGGTTTCTAATTTCAAACCTTCCCAGAGTCGTGTCTCCTGACAGACACGTGTAACTCGGACATTTAAGCCCCAGAGATCAAGTTTGAACTCCGGCTCTCTCACTGACGGACCATAATTCAACATTTTTGATTCATTCAAATGTGGATTTCGTCTGTGTTGAGGTAAAGAACATCAGATGGAGTGACAGACAGAACTCTGGCATGTTGAATCTACAGTACACGGCCGCTGTCAGACAGAAACGGCGCCATCTGCTGTTCAGACGTATTACTGCACCTATTCAGATTCAGTAGGAGGCAGATGGATAAAAGTTTCTTCCTGTTACACATAAAGAATACACAGCTTAAGATCGCCTTGGGGAAGACAAAGCTTATTGTTAGTCTTTTGTTTATTGAAAAAATCTTGATTCTGTGCTTCTGGGAATCATTAGACTGCCAAACTTAAAAACTAAAGTTATAACAAATTGACTGAAAGAATTGATTAGTTTAATGATCTGCAGCAAAAAGTCACTTGGCCTGCACGAGGCCGAGTTTTATCTCATGATCTACTGAACTCTGGCAGAGCTGGTTTTAATAATCATCCCGAACTGAACTGCAGATTTTAATTTGATATGCATGAGCAGCAGGGGCCTTTTCACGGGGCACAGTGGTTTTGTGCTCGATTGTAGCCACTGAGTCCAGTCAGTGCTGCCAGCTCTTCAGCCTAAAAAACAAAGCACGCCTCTGTTCTGGAGCCAGTTATCTCTCTCACCCCCCTCCAGAAAAAAAAAAAAAAGTTGGATCCTTCTGTAGGTCAGTGGGTTTGGACTAAATACTCGTGATCAACGGTTCAAGAAGATACTACACCGTTAAAGTGCTGATTATAGCAGTACTCCCAAAAGATGGAGTCTGGTCTGTCCGCCGTACGGGTCGTTTTAAAAGCCATCCATAATTCAAAAGCCAATTCCAAAATGCCACCGAGGCTACAGCACAATTACTGCAGATAACCAGATTAATTCAGACAAGTACGTTCACAGGCAGGTGATTTGGTAGTTTCGTGGGAGCATCAGGTTAATATCCAGAGGCATGTGTAGAAAGCATGTGGGGGGAGAACATCTAATTAACCATAAAATAAGCAGCAACAACCCTGGTGAATGTGTTTTCATTAGACTGCAGGCCGTGCCCTGGTTGTGAACAGAAAAACTATTTTTTCAGTGCAGGGAAATAGTAAAAACAACAACTTTATCCTCATGATAACCTTAAATAATTAAACAAAAATCCACAATTTACTTAGAATTCAAAGTCAGATTGCTGCCTGCATCTAAATGTGAGATTAGTAAAGATACACGCAGCACTTGACCTGCTGACATCACATCTCATAAGGAATCTTCACCTAAATGTGCATCTTCTTTAAACCATCTGTAACTGTGCCGGTTAATTATTTACCAAGTAGCCTTGTGCTAAATTTCACAAGTGCCCCCTCAGCTCCCCGTCACTGTCAGACTATTCCTGACGGCTCACCCCCCCCCCACCACTTACACAAGTGAAGCAAGACTATGGTGTTACACCACGTTTGACCACGTTATTGCATTTCTTACATGAAGCTGAAGCTCAATTTGAACATGTCTAAACTTGCAACAAGAGAAACCCTAGAAATGTTACACCATTAAACAAGACACACACACACACACACTTTGAAACCAATAGCTGCATGAACCCTGAGTAACGAGTTTTATCACAGACTGTGTGTAACATCTTTGATTTGTTTGTTGCCAGATCAGACAGGTGTTCACCATGACTGAGATGTTTTGATAAAACTGTGAATATCAGCATTGTTTGCTGCTGTTGATGTGGAGGATATTGTGATGTGAAAAAGTATCTGCTGCTCGCTGGAAAATTCTCACCGTGCCGTTTCTGTATTGGATTGTACAACCACAAATGAATTATTGTAATCTTCAGTTAACGTGTCAATTATTTCTTGATTAATGCTTTAATCTATAAAAAAATATAAATAAAATACTGGATGAGACATCAGCACTGTCCGAGGTGACATCTTCAAATTGTTCTGTTGTTTTACTCCTTATTTGTAATTTCCTCTTATTAGCTCGTCAGTCATGAGTGAAGTACTTAAATCGCACTCATTTGTATGAAAGGTACTAATTAAGTTTAATTGTTAGATTTGCCTGATGAACAAAACAAAACCAAAATATAACCAAATTACTTGATGATTTAAAATGCATAAAACAATTAATTACTCTGAAAAAAAAAAAAAAAGAAAAGTCAAGTGACTAATTGATTAATAAGATTATAAATTCAGCCCTGTTGCACTGCAATAAATTATACAGCAGTTTGTGTTATTGTGCCAAACCACAGTATGTATGACTCAGTGTCAGTTTGTCTAAAATGCAGTATAGCACATTATATATGTACACACACACACACACACACACACAATGTATACTGTAAGACTATTATTTGTGATTGTTGTATAATTTTACTCATTATTGTTTATTTATTGTCCTATGTGCTGCACTTCTGATCTTATATGTGTCTTCTTGTTCTGCGTTTGTGTTTTTCTTGTGTTTTAAACAAAACAAAAATTTCAATAAAGAAATGTTTTGAAAAACGTCATTGCAAACTAGAAATCCAAAGTTAATTGATTAGTCCACAGAGAATAAGAAGACATTCAGCAATTATTCTGACAAACATTTGATGGTTCCAGCTTCCTAAATGTGACAATTAGCTGCTTTTCTTTGCTGTACATGAGAGCAGCCTGAATATCTTTGGGTTTGGGATTGTTGGTTGCACAAAACAATCAGCTTAAAGACATCACCTTCATCTGTGGGAAATGATGTATTCTAATTTATAGACAAAAATCAATAATCAATGAGGAAAATATTTGCCAGATTGGTAGATAACAACAAATATATATATATAATTAGAAGCTGTTTAATCATTAGTGGCCGAATGCAAACATTTCCCACTCCTGCTGGGAAATGAGAGGATCAGCCTTCAGCTTGTCACGCTTGGCTGCAGAGTCACAGAACCAGTTCTGTCATGTCATCCTGAGTCTGCAGCCTGTGCATGAGGAACTGTGTGGTTTGCATCATAGTGCAATAGTATTACTGCACACTCTTCCTCATTCTGTCCAATTGACTAACATGACCTTTTCCTCTTTGCCATAAAAAGGAACAAACGAGGAAGGAAATCACATTTTACATTTTACACCTTGTTCTGTGTTCACTCTGTTAGTTGGCCACCACATCATTTACATCCCCACCACGTACACATGCTCAATAGGTGTAGCTATAGTTATGACATTTGGGAGGTTGATACGAGGCTAAAGTAAACAAAATACTTGCGCTCTCGCGTTAGTTGCTAGTGCGGCTAACGTAAAGTAGCTACAGTTGCTAAATTCGGTAGCGTTAATAACAAGTAATCGGATTATCAGATTGTCAAATTTTGCAGTTATAAAGTTAACCCAAAACCTCACAGGAGCTGGTTAGCACGTTAATTAGCTAGCTAACATTAACATGAGTGAGACTGATGCTAACATTTAACTGATAACGGCTGAGTTATCAAGCTAACCGGCTAACATTAGCATGTAATTGAAGCTGCGCCGTTTTACCGTTGAAGTCCCCCGTGTCCGCCACCACCACCGTGTGCTTCTTCAGCTGGTTCAGCGCTGACTCCATTTTTCTCCGTTTGTCTGGTGACACACTGGACATAATGAGCAGAGACTGGGACCCTTTTATACACAGAAAACACGTGAGGCCGGGCGGAATGTCACAGGGGCGGGAGCGCGCAGCACAAGAGGAAGAAGGCACCGGGAACGCGCAGGTAACACCATGAAGTATTATAAAACATCCATGAGCGAAACTCAGAAACTCCTGCAGCAAAATGATGAAAATAAACAGTCGAATAATTATTTATAAACAAGTAAAATATAACAATATAATTGTTATATTTGTTATATTGTTACATTTGCCGTAAATATAAATAAAACTCATGAACTATGACGAATTAGGCTGTTGTTTACAAAGTTAATTTATATATCTTTCAGTGGTGGAAAGTAATTTGGGATATTTACTTAAGTACTGTATTTAACATTCAACACTTATAACTATACTCCAATACAATTCACAGAGAAATATTCTTCTTTTTGATCCATTAAAATGTCACTGACTAAAGATGTAAAAAAAAAAAGACTAAGATTTTAAAATTTTACATATAAAAATAATATGACCTAAAATATGACGCACCGTGACAGACTGAAACACCCTAAAGTATTTAAATTACAGTTACATAGTAGTGATTGGAATAGTGGAATAAAGTACAGAGGGCCCCAACATGGGGAGGGGCCTCAAAAAACCTTGAATTTTTCTTCAATTTTTCCTGTTTTTGAGAATAGACTATAGTCAAAGGGAAGAGGGTCCACCGAGCCTGCAGGCACCCATATCATTGTGCTATGTCACCGTCTCCACCATGAAACAACTACCAGTTAAAGGGGCCATTATCTGTATTGTTTGTACTGTTACTTTTCATATTTTAGGATTTTGCTAATAATACTTATTACTTAATACACACTTTTGCTTAAGCAAGATTTTCAATGCAGAACTTTTCTTATGCTGTGGTATTTAAATTTTATTTATTTTATATATATTTTTGTTTTTTCTATGTACATTATGTGATTTTTTACTTTATTTTGTTGTTTGACATGTTTTCTTCCTCTTCTCTTAACAGAGTCATTTTCTTTTTAAGTTGCACACAAAGTGCTACAGTATATAAATATATATATATATAATATATATAAATAAAGTTGATTGAATTATAAATCAAGCGTATTGTAGACAATGATTTACAAAGTTCAATCCATTAGCTTTTTAAGTCATAATTATATTAAAAATCTCATATACATATGTCTTATAATTCAGCTATGAGAAACTATCTTAACTGGGACTTAGTTACAGGTGTTATATTAAATAACTAGCACTAAGTCAGAAAGCAGTTCTTTCAGATTGTGGCTATTTGAGCTAATATTTGTACTTGTGTGTTTTGTCATCCTCAAGGAAACGGTTTGTGGAGCACAATGGGCGTAACATTCAAAAACAGCCTGCAAGTGTTTCAACCAGCCTAGTTTGACAGTGGACTGTAATGACAAGGCTTCTCCGACTCAAACAAACAAATAACATTCATTTCGAATGACAGACAAGGAAAGAATATCTTAGTCATTCTGAAATAAAGAAGAAAAAAACAAACAAACAAAACAGAACAGACGGCCCCAGAGAGGGAGGCCACCAAGTACCAGGAACTGGTTCAACAATGCAGAGACAAAGGGCGGCAGGACTGGATATTTCCAATTGAGTTTGGCTGCAGGGGATTCCCAGCACAGTGTGTGTGGAAGATGGCTGAAAGCAAAAGAGACTGAAGGTGTTAGTGTCTATTCTAGATGTATCAGACGGTGGGTTCACTCGTGTTTTGTGAGCGCTGATGACTGGGGCACCTGTCTGAAAACCTGTTGCTGCAATAATGTTTATTGGAAGAATTAAACTGGAACATTTTTCCTGCAATGCAATAATGTTTAAATGACTGTAAATTGCACCATTTTCCATGAAATGAGAAATATGTGAAATATTTAATTACACAAAGACTACAGTCTGCTCTGCATTTTACCGTGTGCCAGTGCATTATGGGATTTTAATTTAATAACTGTACTGAGGCACCTGCTCCTGATATATTTCTTGCCCTCCAGAAACAGCTTCCTGAACATTAGTCCTATTTGCAAAAAAAAAAAAAACGCATTACATTTGGTGCGATTGCTTTGCTCGCCGTATTCAAAAGCAATACCTCAACCCTTTAGCCCCATAATGATAATGTCACTTACTCCATCGCCAACCTTGTAGGTAGTAACAATATCTCACAGCTGCTGACAGTATAAATAGAAGGTGCTGATCATTACCTGAGTGATTTCAAAGAGCTTCCTTTTTTCCCTCCACAAACACTTTCCCCCCCACAGACAAAAACAAACAAAGCCCTACATCAGTGCAGTTAGGATGTGCTAACTAACACATGTTCTCCTGTGTTTGACAAAAAAAACCATCATGTTGATTTTCTCACAGTACCATGTGTGTTATGTTAAGTTTGAGTTTGCAGACCCATCTTTGCTCTCGGTGTGCTGCACTCAGGAAGACTCAGGAAATAAGCAAATCCCACTGGTTCCTTTCCTCTTTGAGCCGAGTGTGGAGTGTATGAACAGTTCAATCAGACGCGTGAGGTCGAAGAACGATTCCTGCAAAACAGCTGCGAGTCTAAATCATCTTACTGTGCATGCATTTATTTATTCCAGTGTGATAATAACACTGAGCAATAACACGCACATAACATCTCCTCACTGTCACACTCAGGTCTAAAGGTGTGTGTGTGTGTGTGTGTGTGTGTGTGTGTGTTCTGTTTCAGTGTTGCAGGTTCCTGGCTAATAACCTGGATATGAACATACAAAATTAGCAAAAACCTGGAAATGAACGCACAAAAATACCAATAACCTGCTATTAATGTGCCTGTAAGTCCTAATACATCTGTGTCGATGAACTCCATTACAAGTACAAGTACTACATTCAAAATCCTACCGGAGTAAAGGTACGTAAGTGTTTTCTTTTAATTAGAATTGTAATACTGCATCAATGTGTGGTTTTATATACAGTTACCTAGTTTAGTCCAGTGGTTGCCAACCTAGGGGTCAGGGCCCTCAAAAGGGTCACTATAGAAACCTGAGGGGTCTTTAGAGGAAAGAGGAAAACACAAAGTTCAGATACAGAAATTTGCTTTTTTGTGGAATATTGGACAGTTTAAACTAGCTTTTTTTTTAACAGTTATTCACAGTAAATGAAGCACGTGAGAAGTTCAGTGTCAACATACTTGGCCATATATGATTCTTAATATCTACTCATCATCCCACCAGTGCTTCTGACTCAAGCTGAGCTCAAAGCCAGAGACCAAACTCAGACCTACGTAGTTTTGTAATGCACTTAAACTGTTGATGGCAAGAACAAAAAGTTTGTCTCCCGATCTCTGGAGGAAATTAACTATAAAAACCCACAAGCACACAGTCACGTCGTTAGTGAGCAAGAGAGGAAACCCTCGTTAATTTACTCGCCTCTATCGTTGTTTCTACAGTTGAATCAGTCAAATATTCTGAGCCACGCTCGCAGCACGGCTTCAGGGACGCGTGCCGGCCGGTTCACCGCTTCGGTTCAGACTGAAATATCTCTGGATGCGTAGCTGTGGGAGATTTGGTGCAGACGTACAGGCATATTAGCATTCTGGTGTTAGCATTTAGCTGAGAGCATTGCTCTGGCTAAGTACAGAGCTGCTTGCAGGGGTGCAGTTTGTTGTCTCTCTTCATCGCAGTGAAACTCAGCGAAGTGACCTTTTGTGCTGTATTTTATAGAGATCCCCTCCAGTTGTGTTCAAAGATATATAAATAAAAAAATACTCTGCTACTGCTGTGAATAATAATTTTTGTCTGAGTTTTCCCATTTAAAAAGTTAAAATACTGGATACAAGATGTCACTGAAATACCATTCTTAATGTGTGTGCCATACAAGCTTGGAGTTTCCTCGTCACTCTTTAAATACAGGCGTCCAACAGTAAAGACAAGAAATATCTGACAGTAAACAAAGAAGAAATGTACAACGGTGTCAAGAGGAGATCTCTGAGTTCCAGTCCCAAGCTCAGGAAAATGCTATTTATTTTCCTTGTTGCTTTATTTAATCTTTTCTGTCTCCCCATGCTGTCCCGTTCCCTCTGTGTGTCCGGTGTGAACTAATCATCACGTGTTAATGTGTATATTATATAGTATATATGTATATGTATGCACTCAATGGAATATACATTAAAAAGAAGAATATCACTGACAAAGGCAGATTCAAAGGCCTCTTCATTTTGATGATCTGAGTAAATAAGTTGTCAGGAGTATATGATGAAAATACGACTGTTGCTTCCTTTAATGAAAAAGAATTTGCTTATAAACCAGTTCGGTGTTTGTGGACAGTCAAAACTATTCCTATTTATTATAAGTAGCTATTTGTATTCATCAGCTCCTGCTTTTAAATCGCCCACAGGATCACAGCAAATTAGCCTATAAATTACTTTTTTCTGAGAAGTGTCCGCGGGCCAGCAGCTCTGCGAGGGATGACTGTTGCTTTTCAAGTGCAGTACCTGGAGTCACCACTAGATGCCACCTTTTTATGCTGTTTGGAGGATCAGTGACAGTCACATGTGCACCCATGTTGAGAGAGAGAGGGAGAGAGAGAGAGAGAGAGACAGAGAGCCTGTGGTAAGAAACAGTTTGGGAAGTTTTGTCATACACTGAGGGGAGACGAGGGACAGCTGGGAGAGAGTGCAGTGTGAGAGAAGTGAGAGGTAAGTCATTTTCACGTTTGTCTGTCTGTCCAGAGGAGAGACTTCTCCTCTTCTCTACTTTTCTTTTCTCACTTTTTCTCTTTCATTTTGTATTGTAGCTCCAGCGCAGATGTCAGTGAGTGTGCGGAGGTTTAATTTGATAAATCTGGAGCTTTGGTGAGCTGAGTTTGTCTAATTAGAGGGGATAAACCACATCTAGGTTTCATTTATCTTGTGTGAATTGGTTAATGAATGTTGCACTTGGTTTACTTAACGGAGGGATTAGACTAATCATACTTGAGCTGACTGTTCACCAGTTGAGTGATTTGCTTATGAAGCCGCTCTTTTACACGGGCCGTCGTGTTGTCCTTTACGATCAGTAGTCTCATCAGTATGTGGTGACTGTGGAAACGT